TTCCACTGGATGTTTTCTGCCTAGATGGACTGCAAATGCCATATTCAATATTGACATAAGATGCATCCCCTGGATATTTTTGCCCAGGGTGGATTGCACCTGTTAATCTTTCAATATCTTTCATACAAGATATGAAACACACAATCTTATGCAAGGTGCTTCCACTGAATATTTTCTACTCAGATGGACAGCACTTGTCATACTACCATTTATCATAAAGCACTTACCCTAGATGTTGTTTGCCTGGGGGGACAGCACTTGTTGATTTCTCATTCTGTTACAATGACAATATACCACGATCAATCTTATGCAAGGTGCTTCCACTGGATGTTTTCTGCCTGGATGGACCACACTTGACATACTCCATATTATCCAAGGTGCTTCCCCTGGATGTTTTTTGCCTGGGCAAACCACACTTGTTGATCTTATAAATTTATGCAAGGCAAGTTCATTGTTGTTTTTTCCCATGGACTGCACTTGGCATAATCCGTCATATCCCAAGTCACTTCCCCTTGGCTTATCCATATACGGTCCTTTAGCCCTAGCCAAATTTTCTTATATCAGATCACAGGTACCTTATTGCAATTCAACTATCATTGTGTCATGTGCTCGTGCTCTTTGCATATGTGGATATCGTACGTACTATCTGTTGGCCACGGGTGGAAACTGTCTTACAGGACATGGTGCCTGACTATTAAGTTCCACCCTATGTGTCTTACTTTGCTCGTTACTGGGTGAAGCACATACCTGTTCTAGAAGTAGTGCTATACCCCATAATTATAAAAGGAGGCACATCTGTTCTCTGCTTCTTTGATTACTTTTGAGCCTTCACCAGCCCATCCATCTTTGCAATGTGGGATTCTAGCTTTGGGTGAGAGGAGGTAGTACCATTTCAGAAGTTAACATTTTTTAACACTGAAAATGTATTTCCAATAGGCACTTACCTCTGTTCATCCACTTCCCACCCTTATTCCCCACTGATTTGCCAGTGTTTCTTGTTTGTATCTGCTAATTCTAGAAAATGAGGATTGTGCTGTAATGGTAGATGGCATAGTATGATTGGTGGATGATAGTTACATGATCAGTACATGTTGCTGCAATGGCACAAAATATGAAGGGATATAATAGACTGGTGCACTGTTGAAAATTTTAGCAATGCTTAGAAGGAAAATCAAGGTTGAGGTAGCTTTGGGAGTGAGGAGGAGGTAAGTACCTATCGAAAATACATTTTAAGTGTTAGAAAATGTTAACATCCATGTAAAAAGTATTTTCAAAACATATTTGCTCATTATTTTTTTTATATTTATTGAGTTGAGGGATTAGAAGTTTAAATATTGATAAAAATCCTAATCCGTGTTACAGATTTTGTTTATGGTTAAACATAAAAATTTAAAACAAAAGTAAAATATATTTTCATGCTATATGTTGAAAGTTGTGATCAATGCAATATTATTTGGAAATTTTTTATCACTATTGAATACAGAAATAAACAATTATAGAATAATTAACACAAGTAAATTTAATACATCATATTTCTTACCATTCTGATTCTAAATGACCAAAATGTTACATCCAGACTTTTATTACTAGCATTCTTTCTAATATTATAGACAGTTGGAAGCTCGAAAGATAGCAGTTGTTGGATTTTTGATGATGCTGAGAAATTTTAAGGTGTTTGGTGGCTTCACCCAGAGCCAAAGTCAGAGAAGCACCCAGCAGTCAATTTCCTTGAGTCAGGTAGTATGAGTTTTTAGCATTTTAATTTACTTACATATTTTAAAGACCAAAGAATCTTTACATTGATACATATTCTGTATTAGAATTTAAAGCCCAATATAGACAATGTTTTACTTGGCAAGTAATCAGTTTTTTCTTTTAGAAAGTACTTGGCTCATTTCTAGTCATTAATTGTTGGTTGATTAATTCAGTAATATAAAAATACTATATTTAAAAAATTAGCACTGAGTAAATAAAATAGAGCTAAATATATAAAAATGTTATTGAAGTTTGTAGTAGGTTCAAACCAAACTTGATTCATCTTGCAAATGATTCAGTTGAAACTGCATAGTTCGTGTATAATGTGCTTTTGATGTTCATTTATTTTTTCCAGTATTTCTAATATGCATCATCTGATATTAAAAAATACCATGTGAAATACAGAATATCAGTGACTGAAAAACATAATTATTTTTTCAACAGTATTGTATATTTATAGAGTTAAGTTTATTGTGAAGAGACGAGTTGAAAGCTTGATTATATAGATAAACATCCAGTTTACTTATTGCTATAATATTTTGTTATTAATTTATGAATTTAAAGCAGAATATTTTACAGTCTTGTGTAATAATTTAGGAATGATGCGATGATGCTAAGAATGAGAAAAGATACTGTGTTTATCTTCAAGTTTAATTTCTTTTCTGGTTTTTAACCCTGCGTTAGTACCCTTGCTGTATGGAACAACTTTCGACCCTAGTGTTGCACCACACTCCACACCAAAAAAAACAAAAAAAATATCATTTAAGTTTATTAGATTGTTAATCTATCTATGTG